TCCCAGTTAGTGAAAAATGACGAAATATGAATGTAAAAATGAATGCATATATGAATATACATAGTATGTATATATTTATATGCCTGTGTGCATAGATGAGAAAACATGAAAGGTTCTAGGAAAAGTGGAATTAAAAGAAAATTTTATTCTGGTGTTAAAAGTCTTAGCGCTGTGCCAATTTTTCATCATATAAATTTTCATGAGCCTTTTGAACTCTATATTTGCATATCTGTGCATATACATATAAAGAATAAACCAAAGAGCTAGACTAGTGGGGTGATGCTGGGTTAAAGGGGGGATAAGGTGAGAGCAAAGAAGTGTGAGGGATAGAGACCGGAGTTTTCTAACTACAGAAAAAGTGTTGGAGCCATGTAAATGTTCTGTGTAAGTACAGATAAAACAAACCATAACATATAATATCTAACATCTGAAATAAAATTTTGAGCAATCATGGTAATTCTGTACTTACTCAATGACTTAGCCTCCTAAAGAATTATTTAAATAAGTATAAGACATTCACTGTTTATCGTTTATGAAATGTGGTCTAAAAACTAAGATGCGTATCTTCAATGAGCAAATGTTTTTAGGAACATTTGCTTTTAGTAATCTTGTTAGAGTGAATGTATCAGCATTGTTGTTCTGAGCTGAGTTCATTTGTGAGTGTATATGAAAGAGAAATTATACAGTTATATATGAGTACTATTTATGTATAAGCATACATTTATAATAGATATGAGTCACTGTTTTGATGTGTTGCCATACAATGTCCTATCTATTCCTTCATCGATTACTGATTTGCTTTCATTTATTTGCACACTTTCACTCATAGGCACAGATATCTTTTAGGTCATATGTTGAAGTCCTTTAAGTAGATTCTATGTAATTATGAAATAAAAATGAATTATTGAGCATGCTAATGCTATCAAAGGGCCTAGATATTAGTAAATATAAGATCTAGAATTAAGTAAAGAAGTTCCCAATATTTAAAATTGAAAATGGGGATGTGTCTGTATTTAGTGTAATCAAACTTATTGGCATTTCATTTCATATTCTATTTAATCTTAAAATTCTGCTTCCTGGAGGAGATGTCATCTTGCTTTAATAAACAGTAAATGACAATTTGCCTCTTGCTTTAACTCTGTACATTGGAATTCCCTCTTGTTTTAGAATATTTTTCAAAACTATTGATCTCACCATCATCTTTTTGTGTGTGTGGAGGAGAAATGCCTACATTTTTAAAGATTGTGCTGATTGTAAATTTCAGATATTCTGTTACTTCAAGAAATCTAACTTGTCAGTTTGCTATTTCCTCTTGGATTTACGATGCTTTTTTTTCCTCTATTGACCTAGAGATTAATCAGTCATCTTGAAATTATTTTGCAAAAACTCAGTAGGTTTTGTACACCCTTGGAGCTATGGGTCAGGTTTAATCCCAAACCAACACTGTACATTTAATTGCTTCTTAGAATTTTCATTAGGGTTTTGGGCCATAACTCAGTGATAAGGGATTACAGATTGTTCTTGGTACACGTGAAGACAATAAGTCCTCTTTGATAGTGGCTTTCCATTCTGTATTCAATACCCCTTCACAATTTTGCTTGCCCTCATGGGAAGCCATTTGGAAAGTAACATGTGGCCTCCCTCTTGTTGTGTGCAAGCAGTTAGCTTAATATGGCTGGAAGAAGAAGTGTAATTAACATTAATTCTACTTGCATTTCTTTCTGGAAAAGTTACTCTGAAAGACCATTTTCTACTTAGTCTGTGATATAAGTTTATTAAGTAGATCCTATTTATGTGCTATATATATATCAACGTCTCCTTGCAAACACCCACACACTTACACATGATACAACAAAAAGTACACACTTTCTTTTGTAATACACCATAGACTTGAATCAGAACCACAACAGTGTTTTCATTTGTGGTTATACAGTCTGCATGAAGATGACAGTGGTTGAGAATTTATTACTGCTAGGGTCTATGTGATAGCTCAACTGGCTGACCCTCAGCCTCGTAGCACTGGCATGCCATAATGGTGCTGACTGGTGTCTTGGCTGCTCTACTTCCCATCCAGCTCCTTGTTTATGGCTTGGGAAAGCAGTGGAGGATGTCCCAAAGGCTTGGGACCTCACATCAGTGTGTGAGACCAGCAAGAAGCTCCTGGCTCCTTGCTTTACGTCAGCTCAGCTCTGGCCATTATGGCCATTTGGGCAGTGAACCAGTGGAAGGAAGATCTTTCTCTATGTCTCTCCTCTTTGTAAATTTGGCTTTCCAGCAAAACTAAATAAATCTTTTTTTTTTTTAAATAAAGTATTTGTTGCTGCTTCTCTAATTGGGAGATGAAGACTGATTTCACATCCCTTGAATTTGTGCTTGTTTAAGTAACTTGACCAAAAAAATGTGGTAAAATGACTTTCTGAGAGTTTTTATTGGATTAGGAGAAATCTTCCAGCAGCAGTGTCATCTGTCCGGGCCTTCTGGAACATGGTGAAAACTGTCTGACCATCCAGAAGGGCTCGACAGAGGTCACAGACAGGTGTTCTGGTAGGGTATCTTGAATGCCTGGCTGTCTCAGGCTTATATGTTTAAATATTTGTCAGTGGCATCTTTAAGTAGTGACTTGGAGGGCTAATACTTTGGCATAGTATGTTAAGCCTCTGCCTGTGGTGCCAGCTTGTATGGGTGCCCGTTGAGTCCTGGCTGCTTCACGTCTGATCCAGTAATGAGCCGAACCTGGGGAAGCAGTGAAAGGTGGCCACATGCCTGGCTCCCTGTAGTCATGTGAGAAACCAAGAAGCTTCTGGCTCCTGGCCAAACTCTAGTGGTTGTAGACATTTGTTAAGTGAACCTGTGGCTGGAAGATCTCTTTCTGTGTCTCTCCTTCTTTCTCTGTAACTTCTTTTCAAATAAAAAAAAAAAAAACTTTAAAAAATAGTGATCCGGTTTCCCTGGCCACTCAGCAATTAGAGATGGAACCAGGTTTTGAATCCATTTTCTAACCTGGGTTGTCATACTCAGTATGCCTCACTAGCCCTCCCAAGGCTGTTCTTCACTTGACAAGATTTTCTTTGCTTAGGCTTGACTTACTAATTCTTTCAGAAATTGTAATCCAATTTAAGAGTGCTGATTCGCATATTACATAGCATTCCCGGGTGCTTTAAACCTATTAATTTTGGTTGAAGTATTAAGAGTGTCTAAATATAAGCTCATGAATGAACTTGCTGAATGAGTTGGAAAAGACCTCTAAGCCTTTTCGGCCCTCATTCCAGGATGTGCATTAGCTGTTGAACTCATTTATTCACGGTGAAGATCTCTTGGAGTCAGTGATAGATGCAGCATTTCATGGTATTTACTGATGCCCCAAGAGAGAAACCTGGTTACATAAGAATTTAATCCCATTCTCTTGAGAGTGAATATTTGCTTCCTTAGGGGCTTACACGCCAAGCACTGGGTCGTGTTGCTGATTTGTTGGCAACTTTCCTCTGATACCTTGGGTCCATTTTTTTTTTCTTCTGGAGGCTGCTTTTTAATTATTGCTCTTTTTCATAGTAATCACCTCTCTGGTGATATTTGAACGTAGCATACTGTATCAATAGTACATGTGCTGTGGTTATTTCTGTGACTTATCCATGGAAAGAGAATGAGTATTTTTCTCCCACTGAGAGCCTTGTGGGGGGCAGGATATGATCCCTGTTAGGACTGCATGTATCAGTGCATCCCCCTGGAAAGTGAGAGGGGTCCACAACACAGCGCTGAAAGACAGACGTCAGCAGGCAAGAGGAGGTGCTGTACCTAGGGAAGAAGGTGTCTGCCCACTGCTGCATCCAACGGTAACTGTAAGTGGTAGATAAGCACAAGAAACAGATTCTCACTCTTTGTCTTGCCTCTCTGTCAGCAACACCCACCCTCAACCACACCCTAGGATTCTCTTTCTACAGAAATAGTGTGTGGGGTCTGGTGCTTGGAGGGCCCTGAGTCTGCGCGTTTAGCTGTTGAACTAAAATGAAGCTGAGTGTGTAGGCGTCCAACATATCTGGGCATCAGACAGACTATCATTTTTACTGTCAGTTTGAAAGAAATTTTCAAGGGGCGTTGCCTTTTGCTGCTCAGACTGGATGGACAGAAATGGGTAGTGCTGCATTTGTGTGCAGCTGAGATCATCTGTGTGAAAAATGTGACTCCTTTCACATTTTGGGCAGCAGTGGTCAGGCCGTGCTGTTGGCAGCATGCTTTTCCTTTCTGTACCTTTCCATTGTGTGCCTGTGTGTGGTCATGAGCTCTTAGAGGATTTGTATTTCCCCTTGTGTTTCCAATGCCAAACATCGTGTGTGTATGCGTGTGTGTATGGGAGAGAGAGAGGGAGAGGAGCGGAGGAGAGAGAGCGCGAGAGAGAAAGAAGAGAAGAGAAGAGAAGAGAAGAGAAGAGAAGAGAAGAGAAGAGAAGAGAAGAGAAGAGAAGAGAAGAGAAGAGAGAAGAAAAACCGGAATAACAGCTCAATGTTTGCTGCAGGCATGATGGAATACAGATGTGTCCTGAGTGACTGCATGGCTTTGAGTGGTCCATCACTATGTGTGTGTGAATGTGAATGAGGGCTGGGAGCAGATCTGCAGGTGTGCACTCAAGTAGAGCATCCTGCGAGTGTAGCCTTCCCCTGTCTTTGTGTGGAGCAGCACTCTTATGGAAGAACCACCTCATGACCAGTTGCTCTGTAAAATGGTACATGGGAGGTGAGTGACTAGATTAGAGGGTTTTGCAGGTTGTCCACAAGTGGAGACACTTTGTTTTTTAGGTCTGATTTGGATGTGTTCTCTTTGTTTTGAGGAGCACTTAAGGAGCAGTTACCGGCAATTGCCTTTGAGGAAGATTTAATATAGGAGAAAAATAGGCTTCACATAAATATTTAAAAGCATGCGTCTAAAGATCAAGAAGATTTAAGAAGCAATTACTTCATATAATCATTTCTTGGTGTAGGCGAAGAATACAAAAATCGGTACTTCCTGTGCTCGCTGCTGCAGTGCACATGCTAACATTGGAACAATACAGGAAGGTTGCATGGCCCCTGTGCAAGGACGACATGCGAGCTCATGAAATGCTCAATATTTTAAAAATCATTTTTATTATTTTCCATGGTACAGTTTTGTAAGTATATGGATTTCCCCTCTTTCCTTCCCCTTTCTGCATCTCCATTTTCCTCTCCCACTATGCCCCCTCAAATATAATTACAGGGTATAGTCTTTTAGTAACAGTTAACGATTTTACCATTCTGCTGTGTAAGTGCATCATGGCGTTATAGGTACAAAGGTAGAAAATCTAGTGTCATATTGTCAAGGTAACAACTTCATTGGGAATCCTCCATTTCTTTGGAGTAGAGGTGTGCCTGCTTGATATATCTTGACTTCCTGGTGTTTCTAGTCTCCATTATGCAGTTCATCTATGAAAGTATAGGTGTATACCCGTTCACTTCTTTATCTGTTTGTTCTGTATTTTACATCAATGTTACCATATATCAGAGAGAATATATGATATTTGTCCCTTGGGGATTGGCTTATTTCATTGAGCATTATTTTGATGGAACATTGAGTATATTTTCAGCAACTTACTTATGAACTTCTTCAACAAGGTCCCCAGGTGTACGGGTAGCAAGTGAGCCGTTTATGATGTAGCTGAATGCAGGAAGTGTGCCGAAGACTTCGAGACTCTAGTGGTGTTACGACTTATGATACTCTGTATGTACTTTGCAATCAGTAGTGCCCCTGATAATTTAAATCAGGGCTGCTCAGAACAGCTTGCTAATCTGGACAAGACCGCACTTCTCTCCTTTGCTGGACACTCCAACTTAGGTTGAATGAGCCAAGGACATGTGGCGCACTTCTGCAGACCTTGGTCGAGAGAAGGCACAGGGTATGCTAGGAATGCACAAGCTTACGATACAGCAAACCTTTTATGGAAAGATGACAGGAAGAAAGCAGCACCCATACTCACTATTGAGACTTTATTTGAAATTTAGATACTGCTGGATATATTTTGCTTTTTAACTCTCTAAGTTGAACTTTTATACCAGTTTTTACTTAAAGGTATCAAATTCTGTACAACAACAAGTCATTGGTGTCAAAAGGTAAATGAAGTATTACCAGTGTTCCAGTTCTTGTTCTTTGACATATTCTATTTGAAAACTTTTTATCATCCTATATTCTTACTGGCAATAGATGAAATACAATAAAACTTCATCTGTTATTGCATTAAAAAATCAATGTTTCCTTAACTGAGCAGTGTTAAGAAAAGGACCCTAACTGCATCCTCCCTTTCTTCCTTCTTTCCTGCTTTTCTTCCATTCTTCCTTCTGTTTTCATGCTCCTTCCTCCTCCACTCTCTTCCTTTTCCTCTCCTCTCCCTCCTGCCCTCCCTCCCTTCCATCCCCTTCCTCACTTCCTCTCTCCATTCTTTCCTCCCTCCCTCCCTCCCTCTACCCTTTCCTTCCAAGCTCTTCCAGTCTTTCCCATTCCTTACCTCCCTTCCCTTCTCTTCCTCTGTATTTTCTTCTCTTTTCTGCTTTTGTTTTCCCAGGGGTGAGGTACGCTCATCTTGTAGTCTCAAATCATACAAATGCTTTCCTTACAGGTCAGAACAGGTGGACCTTAGCTGACCACCAGGGAAGGAAAGGAAGCCGGTTGTCAAAGGTCAGAGCAGGCAGGTTTGAAGTCAATGCCTTCTAATGGCTATAAAGATAAAGAGACTACTGAGAACAAATCTTATATCAGTCACTTATGTGGTTGTGGTGATGTATATTTTGTAATACATAATTTGTGGCATGTATTGCAGTATGTAAGGATTTAAAATACAATAGGAACAATAGGAGCATGAGGGGTGGAAAAAATTCTCTAAGGATGGAACAGTCCCAACCTCTTGTTTATTAGGTGGTTTTTTGGAGCCATTTGAGCAGAGTGATGGGGCAAAATGATCATTAGGGTGAATTTAAGAGTAGAACAAGTGGAACAAAGGAAAATTATAGCCAAAAATGTAGAAAATTTGAGTTTTGCTATAAAGGTGGTGAGGAGAGACTGGGAGGGGAAATCGTAGGATGTTTTATAGTATAGTTAAGCAAACATAAGTAGGGTATTAGTGAAGGTTGCTGGAGAGGGTTTGGTGAGAAAACAGGAATGCTTGCAAGATGAGGCACCCTGTTCTTAGAGGTGAGGTGCCTGTAGCAGCATGGGTTCCTGAGTCAGTCTCCAGGCACAGAAGCTGAGGTATGTGGGCTCAGAGCAGTTCTCTGCTATTGGCAACGAGTCAGGAAAACAGGAAGTTACCGTATGTTGGATGGCTGTATGGTTCAAAGTTCTGTGGGGAAAAATGATAAAATATATCAAACAAACACACTTCAGAAATGCAGAAGATGGGATTAAAATGTAAGTTTGTTTTGGTACAAACATTGTTGGATTCGCTGCATAGTTTTCATGGTACATTTTCGCTGAGCTTTTTGAAGACACGCTCATTTGTATGAATTTCAAATATTTTGCACCATAATGAGCAGATTTTCATTTGATTTAGTATGACTCTTTGATGTACACCTGGTGTGTGCTTATTTGTATGTATGAGTGTGTGTGTGTGTGGTGTATGTGGACACACAGAGAGGTAGGGATTGATGGATTTACTATAAGGAGTGGACTCTGCATCTAGGGAGCTGAGAAGTCCCCAGGTCTGTAGTTAGCAAGCTGTTGATGCAGTAGAGCAGCCAGTGATGTTGTTCTAGTCCACATCCACAGCCCTGAGAAGCAACAAAGTTGACGATGTAAGCTCCAGTCCACAAGCCAGCGAGCAAGGGACCCATGAAGAGCAATGGTGATGTGTCAGTTTGAGTTTGGAGTCAGTGAAATTTTCGTTCATTGGTTGATTGATTGATTTACATTTGAAAGATGGGTTTACAGAGAGGAGAGACAGAGATAAAAATCTTTAATCCACTGGTTCACTGCCCAAATAACCACAATGGCTGAAGCTGAGCCGATCCAAATCCAGGAGCCAGAAGTCAGGAGCCATCCTCTGCTGCTTTCCCAAGCCATATGAAGAGAGCTGAATGGGGAAAGGAGCAGCTGGGACATGAACCAACGCTCATGTGGGATGCTGGTACTTGAGGCAGAGGATTAGCCTCTTGAGTCATTGGATTGGCCCCTGGTCAGGACTTCTACTGGCTGCAGGAGACCCATCTACATTAGGAAGCATAATGTGTTTGGTCAATTTACAAATTAAAATGTTAATCTCAGCAAAATTAACTTCACAGTTACACCCAGAAATAACATGACCAAACATTAGAGCACTCCGTGGCCTAGTTGTATTGGCACATAAAATCAACTGTCACAGGACTTCATGCAGTGCAGGTTTATTCCTTCATGAGTTCAGATGTCAGGAATGGAAACTTTTGGTGTCAGGAGACTTGGGTCCCTCTGTGGGGGAGTCTACGTCTTTTACATCTCCCTACCCCCCATCCTACAGCCCCACCGCCAGCTTCTTGTGACTGCTGGCAGTCCTTGGCATGTCTTGGCTTGTAGATACATTCGTCCCTTATCACATGGTGTCCTCCCATGGGGCCTGTGTCTTAATTTCTCTATACTTGCAGGGGCAGTGGTTACTGGATCAGGGCCCACTCTAAGCCCATGTGAACTTGCTTACATCTGCAAAGACTCTGTTTCCATAGAGACCACAGTTTACCCAGGGAGTCCTGGTTGGTATGATATGCTTGTGGGGATGGATATTGTAATAACATGTATCTATTACTTTATATTCTGTTGATTAGTTTACCATTGTAGTATTCTACTGGCTAGTTTATGTACTCCACTCTTGTAAAACTTCTTTGTGCTCAACATATTCATTCTTCTTTACTTTCCTCAGAACATCTGGCAATCTCTCATCTATTTTGCTCTCTCCACAGTTTTGTATTTTGCAGAATGTCACATCATTTCAGTCGTAGAACATATGGCATAATCAGATTGGCTTCTTTCACTTAGAAATAGACATTCAAATTTCCTTTTATTACTTTTTAACTATGCTACTCAGTCTTCCTTCTGTATGTGAATTCAGAGGGCTATTAAGTTTCATTAATAAAGAGTTGTTCACGTTTGTCATGCTTGCTGTGTTGTCTTCAGTTCTTAAGTGAGAGGTATATAGATGAGGAAAAATAGGGCAGAATATGATTTTCAAGCTCTTCTGTTGCAATTGCAGGGTTCCTGTGTTCTAAATGTAAAATTGAGATGCAAAGGATATTGCAGCTATGGATTTGAATCCTTTGATCACCAGTGCAGATGCCTTACTAGTGAATATGTGGAGAAAAGACCTTGTAACCCCATATCCTCTCTGTTATCTGGTTGTTCGGAAGGCTGTAGTAAATCTGATTTCATTGGTCTTGTACTAGTTCTTTAAATATTCATCTCGTTGCCTACAGAATATAGTATAGCCTACCTGGAATATAACGTAGACTATGATTTGTTTTCTTCATTTGAAAGAATGAGTGAGAAGCAGGTGCAGAGCTAGATCTCTCATCTGCTGACTCACTCTCAGTGCATGCAACAGCCAGAGCTGGGCTTGATTGGAGCCGGGGCTCAGTCCAGCATTCTCACGGCAGTGTCAGTGATCTAAGTACTTGGGGCATCATTGACTGCCTCCCAGGATTCACATTACCTAGAAACTGGAATCAGGAACAGAGCTGGGATTTTCACACCACTATGGGATGCATGTACCCCGCGTTTTGTGTTAACCACTGTATGAAACACCTGTTCCTACATAGAGTTCTTCATGGCCTGACATCTACTTTATCCAGCATCCACTATTGTCTATCATTTTGCATCGTGTATTTCTGCCAAACTTAACTATCCATTTGTTCCCACATATATGTTCCCTCTCTGGCTCTGGACTCTCCCTCCTCTGTAACCTCATGTGTTACCATCCTGCTGTCTCCTGGCAGCCAGAGCCTGCTCTGAGGAGCTTGACTACCATGTCTTTCCTCTGGCCATCTCAGACAGCATCAGAATCACCCGGGGGCCTGTGGGAGGGGGATTATTGGTTCCACCTCTCGAATTTCTGATTCAGAAGCTCAGGAGGCTATGATTCTAGGGA